GATGCATTTAAACTGCAGTTACAAATGCATAAATAATGTTTTGATATTTTAATCCTAAAACTTTGAATACTGATATTTGAAATGATTTTTAAAAAAATATATAAAAAGGTACTTTAAAATGTAAAATTAAAACCGCCAGTAGGTGGCAGCAAGTCACTGTTAATAAGTGAGTCATTGCGATTGAACCGAATCATTCAAACGGTTGATTCATTCAGTAACGAAACACTGTCATGTTTTTCAGAGACGCAAAACAGTATTGTGGCTTTGTTTGGAACCATTTTTGTTGCCGAAATAGAGCAAAAAATAGGCATTATGTTGTCTAAAACGTAAGAAAAAAAATGGCACTCCACATATGATATTGATCAACTATATGAAATTATATAAATATATACACTTTCTGCCCCCATATCTTGAATTTTGGGAGCATTCTAAATGCATTTTATTATACTTAAATCATGCCGTGAAAGAACACTCTAAATGAGCATTCAGTCTAGCTAGCGTTTAAGCACTCATAACTCCTCTTATAATCAATGAAGCTGTCCATACACGGTATGATAAATGAATCTCTAACTTACATCGTACGTATATCTGCACTTTGTTGTTGTGAGGGAATTCACGAATTTCAGTCTGAACAAAACTCTGGGGTTTCAGCGATGACTGATCTGAACGCCTCTGATTGGCTACCGCATTCCTAAGCTCAACAGAATCGTGTGTGATTGGGTATAATGAGCAACGCTTTAAAAACTTAATTTTAAGTATTAAAGTTTTATTGAAAAACCAGGGGACCCCCCAAATATATATTTTTGGATGTTATGGGGGGTCCCTTAATGCTTATTCAAGTAAATTCAATTCAATTCAAGTTTAATTATATCCCTCAATTCGAACACTGGTTTTCACTCATAAACGGTGCTTGATCTGTGCATATTTCTCTCCTGATTTAGACGAGATGACTTTTTCAGTGGAGGAAGCAATATTATGGATAGAGCACTCGTATTTTAGCCGAAAGCGATAGTTAAAAATGTTAACTGATGGACTGGAGTGGAATGCTACATTTCTCCAAATCTGATGAAGAAACAAATTCATCCACATCTTGGATGTCCTGAGGGTGAGTAAATTGTCAGCTGATTTTAATTTTTGGGTGAACTGTTCCTTTAAGTTAAATGTTCTGTTAAATATAACAGAAATTTCGGGTTCAAAACAAAGTTAAGCTGTATGGACAGGATGTGTGGCATGTTGTCAGTCACCGCAGAAAATGATTTAATCTCATCTCTCCGTTTGTAAAAACAACAGTACATTTACAATGGAAGTCAGTGTAGTGTTTAAAAGCAGAGATGTGTGACATATTTTTGTTGCACCAATAATGTGTTTAATTTAAGCTGTAAAATCTTAATCATCATAATGCAATGTAAAAGTTACTGGGTTTACTGGCTTCACTGGCTTCACATGGTCAGAAGAAGAATGTTGATTATAGCATTGCACAGACATGCTATTTGCAGATATTGTGGCTGTAATTTGTTTTTGTTTTTTTCCAGTGCAATGCCTCATCTCATAGACTTCCATTGTAAGTGCATTACTGTAAATGATACCCAACAAAAATATAGAATGTTTTGCTAATGCTCCCATTCATTTATGAAAACATTATTTCTGAATGTTCTCTGAGCATTCAAAACATTTAAAATATCCATCTAAAATGTTTCAGAAAACCGTTCCATAAATAAAGTTTTTGTGCTAACGTTTTGAGGACATCATTAAAGACCAGATAACTTTGAATGAACCTTCTGTTAACGTTACAGTTCATAACATTGAGAGAACCTTGCCAGAACGCTCCCTGTTAGCTGGGTACTTGTTGGGCATGAGTTCAAATCATTTTCTAATGATTTTCTGATGCTATCAGTAGAACTTGTTTTGAACATGGAACATGAAAATGTAATGTTTGTGTTTTTTTTTGTGCATCATTTCCAGTTTGTTAATATATTTCTCACCACTGAAATTATAAATACCTACTAAGGACAAACCATTTATCACTTTTGTGAGACCAAATATAACTAGCAACAGACCTTTTATTTATTACCATTTATTAACAAAGCTGTGCAGGGCGACCCCAAGCAAAAGTACCTACATACAGAAGACATTTGATGTTCAACCACATTTGATTTCTCAGTAAGGGGTGATTCTATTTACTCAGAAATGTGTTTTAAGGATATTCTCTTACTTGAAAGGTAGTTTAGCAATTAGGTGTCTGGTCAGGGTTTATATTCTAAAGTATGTGTTTGAAAAGTTTGGTAGTTTATGTTTTTAGAGACAAGGCTGTTTTTTACTTGTCAAACTGATTATAGTTTATTTTTGATTGGATCTATGGATTGTATGTTATTGCATTTATTTGAATGTTAAAATGGATTCAAGAAATCGAGGTATACTTTTATTTTTTAATTTTGTGTGACGTGTTGTTTAAACGTATGGAATCTGAACATGTATATTATTCTTTAGATATCTGACTGTTTCGATTTGGCTGTATCTTTGATATGAAAACTCGTCTGTGTTTCAGTAGCTTCTACGATTTTATGTAAAAAATAAAAAAAAACCTGCATGGGTGTGCCATGATTTATCAGCATTCAGGGTATTCTGAATTTTTGTTATTTTTTGTTATTTTAATGATTTTTGTTCTTATTTTGTCTGGTGTCTTTGTAATTCAGAGGATTTATTGTTTTATCATGTCAGATTGTGAATGGTTTTCTGTGCTCTCAACTCCTTTTCATCTCATATGGTGAAAGTATCTGATTTCATGAGGCTGCTCTTCAATAATCACCAGCAAAAAATCTACGTCATTTCTTTATTTACTGTTTTCAATTTGACGCAGGTCTTATGATTCTGAAATAGAAATGGGGTTGAAAGATTACTGTTTTTGATTTGTTTTGCAATATTGCTAAACATCTCAGTCTTCTCCTCAAACTGTATTTTAATGGACAAACAACAGCCGGCTGCTACACACAGTGTGTACAGGGCAGATCAGGGTAAATAGCAGCATTCATGTGTTTTATTTTACTTGCATAAAGATACATAGAGTACAGATACAGTTGCCTTCCAGGGCAAACGTGAGACGTACAGTTATTTTATAAATTTTTTTACACCATGTTTATGGATTTAGGGAATGTGCCAGATTTTCCAGCTTTTTTTTTTTTTTTTTTCATTTTAGGTACATGCCGTTATGAGTTCAAATATCTTTATCTCTGTTCTGTTGTTTGAAATTTTATGCAACATCTAAAGTTTTGTTATGAAAATGATACAAAGCTTATATGTGTTGTACAGATTCCACAGATGAACAAGATACAAATGTACACATGGACAAATAATGGATTAAATTTTGTATCTTTGTCATTTTAATACAATAAAATGTGACTGAAATGAAAACGTTGTAAATAATTAATTTTCCCACATGTACCCATTTTAATTCATCTGCTTCTTGAGCAATTAATTATTACCTGAACACATAGTCTGAAATCTAGTCTAAAACAGACATTAGCAGTTGATACATTCCGTGAACACAATGCAGTTTAAATGCAAGAGAAACCAACACTAAATGGCCATTTAGTCATAGTCGTATCAGTTTCATTATCACTAAATCTATAAGAGTTAAAGGCAGGGTAAGCAATTTTGGAGAGGCTAGCAATAGCAAGCTAGCTCCCACCCTCCCTGCAAATCACTCCAAAGCCACGCCTCCTCCAAAACACCTGAACACACACAGGTAGACCAGAGACTAACCAGCAACACGATGAGAGGCGGCGTTGAATGCAGCGCTGTCAGATTAGCTCATGTCTTATTCACCAGTGAGAAAACATTACAGTACAAAACGCATAATATTACAATAATAACGCCTTCCATTCTCGCTCAGTACGCAGTAGCGTAATGATGCATACATACAAATACATCCGTTGACAGGCAGGTGGGACAGCCTATCGTAGCCCGAGGGATATAATTGGACAAACATCTTCCACAGACATATAAATACATTTAGACCACTTAACTTAATGATTGCTATCAGGATGTGAAGAGACTTTATTTTTTTTCTTTTATTTTTTTATGCCTTTTATTTAGATAGGACAGTAGGTCGACAGGAAGCGAAGTGGGTGAGAGAGAGGGGGTGGGGTCGGGAAAGGTCCGCGAGCCGGGACTCGAATTCGGGACACCAGTCGCTACATGTCTGCACGCTGCCTATGAGGCCATCGGCGCCAACGTGAAGATCTTCAGCCAGCATAACAAAAAATGTTTTTTGAACTAAATCACCTATACCCTGTCTTTAATGCAAGTTAAAAGTCGTGATATCATCTTGTTTTGAACGTCTGAGTGAGCAATTTCTGTGAATGTGCGAATATCTAGAAGAAAATCAAAGTACGGTAAACGGTGAAACTATTTGCGCCACAAACCAGTGTATTTACGTTTAATCAATTAAAATAATAAGGTTAAGAAATACTTGTTTGCAATATTAAGCAGCATAACGAGCTGTTTTGTACCGCTAAAAATAAGCGGATAAACCCGGAAGTCTTGCACATTCACGTTACAAAATAGCCGCACATGCTCTTAAGTTAAAAATAAGGTGGAAAAGCAGGAAAGTGCTCAATAGAGCTGATAAAATACAAAATTATACAAGTTATTGTGCCTAATGTGAAACATTTCCGATGCTTTTATTGCAATTAAAAATCAGATCTACTGCAATAAACGTATTGTCACTGTCTGAATTAAAATCTCTTCTGTACAAAATTAAACTATTTATATTGGAAGTTGCTTATCAAGGCCTCTAGATGGTGCTGTATTAATTGAGATCTATTTCTATAGAAACAAGACTTGTGAAAGGCCATCATTATTAAACCAATAATATTTAATACATGCATTTTTTTTTTTTTTTACAAATGTGCAGGTTTTTCTGTGCAAATGACAGCTGTAAACATTGTTGATAATGTCAGTTAGTCAGCACAGCCACAATACTATAAAAATTTGCCTGAAGTTAGTTTTAGTTCCTCTGAACAGGTTTGTAATTGCCATTTCCTCTTTCTGTGTCACAAACTGAATAACAGACAGGCATATAGAGAGAAAATGACTTGTGGCATGTTACAGACGTGCACAAAATGTCAAATATATATATATATATTTCTGATGTGCACAAAAAGGATTTATTTATTTATTCATATTGCACTAAAAACCGTTTTAATTTTGCATTTCATTTTTCTGTCCCTTAAAATCAGTTTTTGTCTGTTTAAGACTTAAGTGTAAACACCATTTTTGCATTTGAGTATCAGCACTTTGCTACATTAATTTTTCGCAATTTGCTGATTTGCTTTTATCTAAAATTCTAATCCTCATGATATGAGCCCTTTAACTACATACTGTTCAGTGCTGTTTAGTATGCATGTAAAATAATGTTTTCAATACAATACTTTGTCCAGGAAGATTTGTCTGAGTCTGAATCTCACAGTAAAGTCATCCGCAGTTGCATAAGGCAGACTTTTTGATCACAGGTGGCTCTTTTTTAATGGTGGCCCCAACCGTTAACCCCTGCCAGTCATCTCGGGTGGGTATTTTGCCTTGCTGGAAGAGGTTATATATGCCTCTGGTCAAGGTCTCAAACACCTCGCTGACGTTAATGTTCTCTTTTGTAGACACCTCAAGATAAGCCAGCATGTTGAGTTTTTTAGCCAGAGCGTCTCCTTCACTCTTCCTGACCTTTCGTCCCACGGCCAGATCACATTTGTGACCCACAAGCACGAAGAACATCGGGTTCGGTTTCACATAGTCCAGGACTTCCTGCTGCCAGCTGCCCACACGGTCAAACGTCTGTCGCTGTGAGACGTCAAACATCAGGATGCAGCCCACAGAGTTCCTCATATAAGACTTACATATGGACCTGCAGGAAAAAGGGTCAGAGTCACGCATGTTGAGGAACTGAGCAACTCCAAGGAATATTTTCGGGTGGGTTTATTTCAAATAAATAAATAAATGTCATTCTTTTTTATGTATTTGATTTTTTATTTCTGCATTGAAACACATTTTAAAGTCTTGACAATAACAAAGTACTTAATTTTTTTACAGTTAGTAGGGAGAAAAAAAGATATAGATAATTTAATTCAGGTTGACAGCTGTTTATTGACACTGATTTATGAAGAACACCTCTTTTTTGAAATATGCAAGTATGAAATATGGTTGAAGTAAATAACTGTTTCTCAAAACATACCTTTATGCCTTTATGTTTTTGTTTAATTTTTTTTTTTTTTCCTTTTTATAGCAAAATTTAAACAATGAAACGGAACATAATAAATGAAAATAGTGATGGTGATTTTGCTCTGATAATATATGACAACAGACATGTTACAAAAGTTTTAATTCCTAAAATTATACTTCAGCAAGAGCTATAAAGATCTGCATTGGCAACAGAAGGTTTTTAATTTCTTTTAATAAAAAAAATGAATTAATTAAAACAAAAACTATGTATATTATTTTTCAAAATAGGGAAATATATACACTGCCAGTCAAAAGTTTGGGATCAGTAAGACTTGTAATGTTTTTTAAAGAAGTCTCTTATGCTCATCAAGGCTGCATTTATTTGATCAAAAATACAGGAAAAATGATTAATAATTAATTATTAAATATTAATATATATTTAATATTGTGAAATATTATTAAGATGTAAAATACATAAGAGCATTTATTTAAAATAGAAATATTTTCTAACAATATACACTACCGTTCAAAAGGTCAGTAAATTTATATTCTTACTTTTTTTTTTTGGAAAAAAAAATTAAAACTTTTATTCAGCAAGATGTGACGAACCCGGGCTGGACTCCGCTTCGTCCACGGTGAAAGCCGATCCGGCGATCCACAGCGAAATTGATGTATTTCCTCAGCGAACAGCACGATTTCTGAAGGATCATGTGACACTTTATACTGGAATAATGGCTGATGGAAATTCAGCTTTGCATCACAGAAATAAATTATTTTTTAAAGGATATTAAATTAGAAGCCATTATTTTATATTGTAATAACTTTTTGCAAGATTAGTTTTTTTTTCTGTATTTTTGATCAAATAAATGCAGCCTTGATGAGCAGAAGACACTTCTTTAAAAAAACATTACAAGTCTTACTGATCCCAAACTTTTGAACGGCAATGTATTTAAAATGGTGAAATATATAATATAATATTTAAAATAGTGAAATAAAATGTAAAGGATCATCAGACGAATTTTGGCCAATAGAAAAGTTGAATAACTAAAATGACAGCATTTAAAATGTGTGTGACAACTTGCCCCGACCTGCCATTTATGAGAATAACCTTTGTCCAGAGAGCAGTTCTACCTTTGATTTCAAACCTACCTTTATTATATGTGACCCTGGACCACAAAAGCAGTCTTAAGTCGCTGGGGTATATTTGTAGCAATAGCCAAAAATACATTGTATGGGTCAAAATGATCCATTTTTCTTTAATGCCAAAAAAGGATATTAAGTAAAGATCATGTTCCATGAAGATATTTTGTAAATTTCTCACCGTAAATATATCAAAACTTCATTTTTGATATGCATTGCTAAGAACTTCATTTGGACAACTTTAAAGGCGATTTTCTCAATATTTAGATTTTTTTTGCACACTCAGATTCCAGATTTTCAAATAGTTGTATCTCGACCAAATGTCCTATCCTAACAAACCATACATCAATGGAAAGCTTATTTATTCAGCTTTCAGATGATGTATAAATCTCAATTTAGAAAAATTTACCCTTATGACTGGTTTTGTGGTCCAGGGTCACATATTATAATGACTCTTGTCTTATCTGTGTGTTTTATTGTGTACCCCAAAATGCTGATACTGAAATTGACGTTCGGAGGATAAAATTAACCAAACTCATCCTAATTTAAAACTTGAATTAGGATTTTAAAAATTAGCCCTGGCCTCCCTTATAATTCATCTATAGTCTGTTGTCCCACTTCTATAATTTATAATCTGCAGGTTTTGAATTCGCATAAACTTTCAACATGTCAGAAAGAAATGACAATAAAATAACATGAGTGTAACCTCATGTACAGTATATGATCTGGTGGGTTTCACTGACAGACACTCACCTAAATCTCTCCTGGCCTGCAGTGTCCCACAGAAGCAGTTTGATCACAACATCAGGGTCAAAGTTCATATTGTGCACCTTGAAATCAATTCCCAGTGGAGACTGACGAGATTCATCAAACGTTCCTTCAGTGAAGCGATGCAGAAGAGACGACTTCCCTACGGATGAGTCTCCGAGAATCACTATCCCGAATCTAAAGTTCCACGGCACTTGCATTGTGAGCGGCTCGTGTTACAATCTCTGTCAGTGTTTTAAAAGGCCTTACCCTCTGGTGACTGAACAAACAGGTTAAATAGTACAAAGAGGGAGAGGTTTGCAGACCTCCACACCTCTTTCATAACAATAGCCAGGTTGTGAAAACGTGGCATTGCAAACAACAGAAATTGCACAATGAGAAACAGTATATCTGTGCTGAGGATGTGATATGTGCTGCGTACTGTCATGAAATATCATATGCAACACTATTGTCAAAGCATTTATGTCTGTAACACAAATACTGCATAGTTTAATTAGTTGAAATCTACACGTTGAATTAGTGTTTGATCACAACAATGATGCTTATCTTAGCAAACACCACTTTTATAAACACCAGTATTATAATTAATTAATTAAGTATAATATTTGTGGCTGTTCCTGACCTTCTGGGAACTTTCTCCTCAGAAGGACTCGCAGAAGAAAAGCGTGTTCATCTTTGTGAGAACCGGTTTGAATTGTTGGCAGCACTTTGTTAAAAATAGTTATGGTGTTCTCTAGGGCTTGGTAAAAAATATCGATATCTCGATTTTAATCGATTCTCATTTTTACGGAACGATATCGATTCCTAAATCCCAAGAATCGATTAGTCTAGCCTGTTTTCAGTTAATGAACGGAACATTGACACTTGGGCACTTCCCATCCAATATATCGCAATGAGCATTGTGCTTTGGTACTTTTAATACGAAACAAAGTCTCAGATTTCAAATTCTGTCCATTGCATTGCAGCATTCAAACAATAAATGCCGTTTTGGCGCTGTTTAATGTGGAGTGACAGATCGCTGTAGCGCGCAGCAACTGATCATCTCCTCCACATTAATACCAGTTTCAGCACAAAATAAACATGACTAAACACACGAAGGTAAGTTCAAAGAAAGGGTACAACTTTACAAGCTGTACCCTGTCTCATGTAATCGCTCAATCAGTGTTTCAGCTGCGCAAAGACGTCAATATAACGGCTTGTAAACAATGTCACGTAATGTCACATTTACCTCAGGAAAACATATTCGGTGACCATAAACTCATTAGTCAGATAGAAAAATAAACTGTAGAGAGGGGCATTTTGCTAAATATATGCATTATATAACATATTCATTATAAATTTGACTGTTCTTCAATGTTTAGTTTATTTTTAAATAAATCCATCAAGTTTTTATGACAGCCACCATTATGTTTATATTTAAAAAAAATGAATTGAAGTAGAAATATTATTATGTAATTGTAGCTTTATTATTTAAAAAACTTAATTAAGTGTAATTTTAACAAATCAGTCCATTTTAACCTTCAGTATTATAGTAATGTAGTACCAACTGACTCTCATGTATATTTTACAGCATTAGTTGAGATTTTTTTTTTCCTTGAGAAAATTTGGCATGTACCGTAGGCCTACATGATATATATCCAAAATGATCGATATTGAATCGAATCGGTAATCGAATTGAACCGCAAGCTTGTGAATGAGAATCGAATCGAATCGTGAAATTTGTGTCAAAACCCAGCCCTAGTGTTTTCCCACTGATAAAATATGACAACAGACATTTTAGAAAGGTTTTAATTATACTAATACTTCAGCAAGAGCTGAAAAGATCTGCAATGGCAACTGCAGGAGGTAGTTTCACACTGCAAAAATTTAATAAAATATTTGCTATCAAATATTACTTATTTCTTGTTAGAAAATTTCACATTGAAAAGTAAATAAAATTAAAATTAAATAATATATACAATAAAATTTCAATATTTGCTCAGTAAATTTCTTCAATAAAATAATCATTTATTGTTTGTTTTTGTTTGATTGACTCTTGGGAAGTTCAGTAGTATGAAACAAATATTGAGATATGAGACACAGATAAAAAGGCCTATTAGGTAAGGATTCGGATGATAACAATAAAATTAAAGAAATAAATGACAAAACTGTTTTGAACATTTAAAATTAACGTTTTTTCCCACAAATTATAGAAGTGTGTCATATAATATCAAACACAAATTACACTGTACAGATGATTGTTAAGAAGAACTCAAAGCTTTTATGTTGACTTAAAGGCAATGAAAGCACAACATCAGAGACATTTTGAAAATATGTTTTTCCTATAATATTTTTTACTCTATAAAAGCACTCATAATCCCTCATTTAAGATAAAAACCCGCTCCTGTGTGTGCTGCGTTAGCACAGGGAGAACCGGCGAGAGTTGATGTTCATCTTGGTGACCCCGATGACCTTGAGCTGCGCCGAGAGGCCTAATCCAGGAGACATGGGGACGTCACACAAATCAGACATATCGTCCCGCTCCTCCAGCTCAAACGTGGCATCGTTCACCATCTTGCGATGTTGGTTACACGTCTGCACGATTCTCTGATTGTTAATGTCACTGCGCAGGCGCATTAGCTGACGCGCGAGCTGCTGGTCCTGCAAACGCATCTCTGCCTGCAACAGAAGGGAATAAAGAAGGTAAACAGCTATTAAAAAATGAATATCCTGTAGATATAATGCATTTTATTGTGTGGCATTTCTGCAGCACTCGTGGCAGTAAATGGAGATGTAAAACTAATAATTGTTTCCAAACAGGTTTCCAGCCTTCTCTTCAGACAAAATCTGCCATTATTCAGAAAACAGGTTGAAACTGAGGTTGACATTTCAAGTTGCTTAAACTAGTGGTGTGGATTTTGATTCATACCTGTGAATCTTTTCATACAATTCACCACAATTTTTTTTTTCTGATTTGTTCTTTCAGTGGCCCTTTACATTGTTACACCAGAATGTGCTGTCAAATGTCTATGAATCAGTGATTCGTTCACTGAACTGTTTTGTTAAAAATGGCCAATATATAAAAATGCTGATCCAAATAAATAATAATAAAAATATAGAATAAAAATAATAATAATAATTTATAGAAATGGGCCATTTTTAACAAATTGGTTCAGTAAACAAATGGTGTAACAAAGTAAATGGCCACTAAA